CATCCATCCATCCATCCATCCATCCATCCATCCATCCATCCATCCATTCCATGCATCCATCCATGCATTTATCCATCAACCCATTCATTCATCCTTTCATCCATCCACCCATCCATTCAATCTGCACAGTATGAAAAAGAAAAAAGAAAAAAAGAAAAAGAAACCAGGGATTCCAGGAATTTAGTGTCTAGTCCCAGATCCACACTTAACTAACTTGGGTAAGCTTTGGCAAGTTGCTGGATGATTAGCCCTCTAACCTCAGGTTCCTTGTCTTTCAAATGTGGAATAAGAGTTGAGATTTAGGTTTAACTGAAATTTGGGCATCCTGAGCCATTTCTGGCTCTATTCTGCCCAGCACTTGCCTCACCTTCCATAGATGACCCCTTGCAAGTCTGGAACCAAGAGGGATGGCTCAGGCAGACTTCAAGCTTAAAGGAAACAGGGTGGTGCACATAGCTGACGGGTACAGAGCTCACCAACTTCACATCAAGCTGAAGCTAGACATTCCGTGTCTCCCTTTCTGCCTTTACACTGCAGTCTGTAACAGTGGCTTCATCCCTAGTGTTTTCCATGTCACCACTACCAGGAGCCTCTGGGATGCCTGATTCTCACTACCAGGCTCCAATAAGACAAAAGACAAAGAACCTCTGGGTTCAATCCCAACACACACACAAACACATACACACCAATACATGCAGACACATACATATGTAAACACACATACACACCAACACATACACACACATACAGAGCAAACACAGATCATGTTCCACCATTCCCTGCACTGCTCTGCAGTTGATTCTGGTTGGCACACATGACTCTCACACACATGAGTGAGGCCGCCACAGGGGTCTGAAAGAATGGAATGCACAGATGGTCATAATCCACTTAAACTACCTGGTTTCCAAAGGAAGTTCAGGACTTAGTTTCTAGGAAAGAGAAAGAACGGTAACAAGCCAGTCCTGCAAAGACCCACTGCGTATTCTTCTCCTTCCCTTTCTGGTCAAGGAAACTCACTCCCACTTCCTGAGCACTCAGTGTGTCTCAGGCCATGAGTGCAGACTTTACACTGGCCTTTTAAATCCACTCATCAACCTCCAGGAGCCCCGAAGGGACTTCAGCTCAGAGATGGTACAAATACATTCAGCTGGCTCTCTAAACAAGGGTGGATCCAGGGCTACTTGTGAGTAACAAACATTCCATCCACCTACCCACTCAGTCACTTATGTGCCCAAATATACATCTGTCTATCCATCCATCCACTCACTTATGGACACAATGTATATCCACCTGCTCATATATATACACATATACCCACATACCTGTCCACATACCCATTCATATATCCACACACCTCCCCATACATCTATCTAGCCATCATTTATGAACTCCAAACCCACCCAGCCACCCGTCTGTCCCCCCACCTACCTATCAGTTCATTGTTCTTTTGATTTATTGTATATGTAAGTAACCTCAAGGTTCCAGGTAGAATAAGGTGCCTGGGCGTGACTTACAGCTTCATCTGGTTTCTCCTTGATGCCTTTAATTAGGAAATGTCCTGCAAGGAAAACCCTCTTAGATGCTATTGCTTGTCTGAATCTTACAGCTAGAGTCTTGTCTGTCCACCAGACCAGCAGGAGGGCTGGTGAACACACTGCACCCTCCTGCTCCAGAGCTTCAGCCTCTTCAGCATGTGACCCTTGATCAGCAGGTGCTTGTCAGGCCGGACATGTCTGCATGGGTGAATAATCCCACAAGGGACCAGGGGCTTGCCTTTGACTGCCTAAAGCACCTGATTTAGAATGCAGCGCCCCGGGCTTCACAGCCCTCATCTGTCAGGATTAGAGAAATCGACAAGATCAGGCAGGACCCTGACTGACTCCACATCAAGCCGTTCTTGGTGTTCAGAGATCACAGATAGAGAAGTGAAGGCTGGGGACGTGGCTCAGTTGGAGCACTTGCCTTCTGTTCACGAGTCCCTTTAGATTAGACACCTGGGGCTGCATCAGCATGGTTGGTGGCGCACACCTGTAACCCCAGGACCCAAGAACAAGGATATTCTCATAGTCACGCACTGAGTTCAAGGACAGTGAGCTCCATGAGACCTGTCTCCAATGTATATGTGTCTGTGCATGTATTTTCTAAAGCAACATAAAGGTTACTGACACCAGATTACCAACCCCATTACAGGATTTTAGTCAAGTAAGGAGCTGTAAACTTGTCTGGGACTGGACCCAGGGCATCCTGCATATTGTACAAGAGCTCCAACGTTAAGCCACACTCCCTAGGCCTGCTCTTCAGTTCCTTAACTGGTCCTCCTAACGTTTATCCTCATATTTCTCTCTATGGGGGAGAAAGCTACACTTGAAATGGCACACATATGCATGTCAGAGGACAGCCCAGGCATCGTGCCTCAGGGTCCTTCACCAGGAGGATGGGTAGGGGACTCGGGGGCAGGGGACTTCCCAGGTGACACAGTGGCCTGCAGAGGAAATAAGGAGTCATTGAAGGGAGGGAGGTTGTCAGACATGGTGTCAGGGGAATCTCACAGTTCTGAATGACTGGCAGCTAGGTGCTTCTTTATTTATACAGGTAACGCAGAACAAAGACAGACTAATGATTACCCAAGAAGTACAAATCATGTGTTTGGTTTTTCATTACATGTTCAGGGTTGCAAGTTCAGTCACAATTATAAAACACAAACAGAACAGATTTCATTTTTATTATCAACCCTACAACTCCAATTTAAAAAAATCCAAAGAATGTGTCCTCCAAAGTAAACACATTTATTATATGACAGCCTGCTTTTAGGCTGGCAGTGTTTGCAGTTTTAAAGCATTCCAGACAAACAAAATATCTGAACAGTCTTTTTATAAATAGCAAATATTAATACCTAACTCCTTTCACTGTGTATTTCATCATCTATGCTGAAAAGCAGAAAGAGCTTTAGTCAATCTATCTTATTCAGAGTTCTGTTCCTCCAGGGCTGTACCCTATATGACCACCTATCTTTTAACCACATTTTCAAAGGGCTCTAGGCATATTGTAAAGGGAAGCAATGAATCTAGAACCTAGTCTCCTGGTTCTCCTGGCTAGTTAGAGTTTGTCAATAGTCTCTGTTTACCCTGTACCTATTATGCTTTTTGAGTTTGCTCAGGGGCAGATGCTCCAAGACAATTCTTGGAATAATGGCCTCATCTAGCTATTGCTTATCTGTGCTTAATGATCTCCAGGGCATAAGGAAGACTTCCAAATAAAGTTGATTTTAGGATTTTCCTGGAAAGACCCAGACTCTTACAATTTTCTCAGGAAAAGACATACAATGAATCATAATGCATAAAGTTCCCAAATATGTAATATGCAGAGACCAAAACCCAAAAGTGAGAGATATAATGACAGTGATTGCAGCATTTGGCTGAGCTGTGCCAGAACTGTGTCAAGCAGCTGTGCCGGTGTCATCAGTTTCACTGATTCCAGTGGATGTGGCTGTGAAAGATACGGAACTTGCAAAGTGCTAGGCTGGCTGACTGGTGGTCAGGACTCTGCCTGTCTCTGCCTCCCCACGGCTAGGGTTACAAGCGGGCATCACTGCACACAGCTTCTTTATGAGTTTGGGGAACTGAACTCAGGACCTCATGCTGGCAAGGCAAGCATTTTACCAACGGAACTGTCTGCAACCCTTATTCTCACCTTTCTAAACAATACACCCACCTTTGTTGTTCTGTCCATCTGAAAGTGTCTGTTTTCTTCTTCTGATGAAAGGTAACTACACAAAACTCCGTATCCATGCCTATGTGCCTTAGTACTCGTTCTCTCAGTCGTGGGGCAACCCCGCATGCTCATTTGCATATTCGGTGTGTCCATTGCCAGAGCTGTGAAAATACAGTTTACGGCTGGGCCAAGTGGTATGCAGTGACTTTGTTTTCTATTTATTTAACATTTTATTTCTCCCGGAGTACCATTTTATTTGTACATTATTATTTTTTAAATACAGATGTAAGTTACCCTCCAGGCCTAGGCAGAGCGACTCACAGTGACCCGAAACCACAAGCTTCGTTTAGTTTCTCTTTGGCGCTTTTAAAGAGTTTGTTTGATTTTTTTAATTGTCTGCGTGTGTGTGTCTGACTGCGGCTCTGTGTATGTGAGTACAGTACCTGTGGGGGGCAGAAGAGGGTGTCAGATCCCGTGGAGGTGGAGTTATAGGCAATTGTGAGCCAACCACAGGGTGCTGGGGACTGAAGGGTTCTCCAAAACAGCAATGAGTACTCTTAAGCACTATGTCATCTCTCCAGCTCTCCTCCCTCCTTTGTGCACTTAGCAAACAATTGTCTCTCCTAGGAATGTCCTTCCCTGACTCTTCTGCTCATCCAAATCTCCACATGCTAAGGGCTTGTCTCTGTTAGATCAGAAGGAGGGGGCCAATTAGATTACTTTTACTAAATCTTCCAAATCCTCTGAAAAACCCTTCACTCATTTTCCAGACCATTAACTACAACAGGAAATGCGTAAGTTCTTACATATTTTGTCAACCTGACTTTTGCGTGACGTGTGGCATGTAGTGTGTGATGGGGGTGTATGTATGTGCACACGTATGTAGGAGTCAAAGGTCTACGTCAAGTGTCTTCCGCTACCATTGTCCATCTTATCTTTTGAGATGGGGTCTCTCCCTGAGCCAGAGCGGACTGATTGGCTGGGACAGTGAAGTCCAGGGATACGCCTGTGTCTGCCTGCCTTCTCTCTCAGTCCATGCATAGCTTTTTTTTTTTTTTAAATATACATTTCCTTTTATTTTATGTGCATGAGTGCTTGCTTTCAAATATGTATGTGCACCATGAGCATACCTGGTGTCCACAGAGGCCAGAATTGGGCATCAGGTCCCCTGGAACTGGAGCTACAAGCAGCTGTAAGTCACTGTGTGGGTGCTGGGAACAGAACCCAGGTTCTCTGCAAGAGCAGTGAATGCTCTTAACTATTGAACCCTCTCTCCAGCTCCCTATGGTGCTGGGGCTACAAACTCAGATTCGCACGCTTGTGTCTTCCTAAGGACTGAGCTTCTCTCTCCAGCCAGGTATGCTTAATTTTTTTCTGAAAATCAATTAGAGTTTATCTAAAGTCTAGTTATTTTAAATGCCAGCATTAGAGATGTATTTCAATGGTATAGTACTTGCCTACCATGCTGGAGGCCCAGGTTTAACCCCTACATCACAAAAAAAAAAAAAAAAAAAAAAAAAAAAAAAAAAAAAAACCAAACATATTCAGTGAAAAAGAGATATGTTTTTGTTTTCAGCCATCGCAAGGGTGGACTGTGATACGCCATCTCCACCCTACCCCGCCCGACATTCTGCTGCTGCCCTGTCATCTACAGATGAGTGTCTCCATTTCTTTTCCTTGCCGGTTTCGTTTTGAGATAGGAACGTCCCATCTAGCCCAGGCTAACGTTGAGCATGCCCTCCTCCTGCCTCAGTCTCCCTGGGGCTGCAATCACAGGCCTGTGGCACGGGTCCTTGTTTCTTGGGGTGTGGATTTATTTAACTGTGTGTGTGCATGGACATTTGAGTGTGTGGTGTGACTCATACGGAGGGACAGCGGGCAGCGTGTGGCGGTTGATTCTCTCGTTCTACCATATCGGTCCTTGGGGTGCCGCCCGCCGATCCACCTCACCAGACCACATCCTTGGTTTGGAGAGTGTTCCTATGCCAGCCCTTAGAGCTTTCCCTTCTGCCCCGTCTTCATTCTCTTTGCAGAAACTCTTTAGCACCAATACATCTGCTCTGTGTCTAAGTTCTTGTCCTTCCCCCTCCATTCTGTTTGTTTACTCTGCTTTCTGGGGGAGTCTAGCCCTTATCTTCCGACTCCTCTATGAGTGTTTACAATTTTAGAAATTGTATATTCGCTTCTCTGCCCTTCTCTGTTCTCTGAACGCTCCCAGTTGGCAGCATCCTGCTGTCTCTTGTAGATGTAACCTTTCCCGCTGTTCAGGTGATTTCCCTCAGGTTGTTTTGTTCAAGTTTCTTCTGCTCCCTGCACGGTCTGTTTCCTCTCAGTTCCTCTTCTCTGTTTTGTTTCTAGTTTTCGATGTAATCTGATGTCTATGACCTCGGCTCTCTGTTCATAGTTAAGAACAAGACACTCCAGAGTTGATGGAAATCTGTTTCCCTAGGGAGATTGGCCTGAAGTGGCTACTGTATTGGAGGGTCCTTAGCTATTTAAAAAAGCTTCATTTATTAGTTTGTTGTGTATGTTTGTGTGTGTGTGTGTTATGCATGCATATACACATGCTACCATACACATGTAGGGGTAAGGGAACAGTTTGTGACAGTTGGTTCTTGAGTCTAGGGATCAAACGTAGGTCGTGCGGCTTTGTGGCAAGAGCTTTTAGCCATCTTAGCATCCCTAGTTCTAGGCCCTTTGTCTAGGGTCATTCAGTTTATCCTGAAAAGCATCTCTTAATGCCTTTGGTTGGAGTCACAGGGTCAGAGTGAGGTAGAGCTTTGCCTACTGGAGATCTAAAAATAGAGTGGCCTGGGTGCCTGGCCTCTCCCCACCCACTGTATAGGGCAGCAAATCTGTTAGGATCATTGTGTGAGCTGCAGTGAAAAACTAAGCAAGTTGGGCACAGTGGTACATGCCTGGGGCCCCAGCTACCTGTGAGGCTGAAACAGGAATCTGACTCTAGTCCAGGAGTGTGAAACCTCATCTCCTAAAATAAATAATAATAATAATAATAATAATAATAATAATAATAATAATAATAATGCTTGCCTAGCATGCAGAAAGTCCCAGGTTTAGTATCTAGCACCCAGCAATGCTGGTATTCACCGGTCATCCCTGTACTCAAGAAGTAGAGGCAGGAGAATCAGGAGTTCAAGGTCATCCTCAGTTACATATGGAGATCCAAGCCGGCCTGGGCTACATGAGACCCTGTCACAAAGAAACAGTAAAGCAAGGCAAAGAGCCAGGCCTGATGCTGTAGGCCGGTGATGGCAGCTTTGCATGTAGCTTCTGGGATCTAAGACTCAGGTTCATGATTGCACAGCAAGCATTCTCAACCACTGAGCCATCCCCCAGCCCAACGGACAAGATTGGTACAATCAATACTTTAACAAGTCAACAATGGCTTTGCCATCATCTGAATCCTTTATCTAGCCCATTCTGCCAGGCCAGGAATGTTCTATCTCAAACCAGGGCCTCCCCAAATTGCATGTGTGTGCCTTCTCTCCTTTTTACAAGTGCTTAGGAAGCTGGCCCCAAGCTCCTGGGAGTATCCTAACCCCATGTGGCTTTCAGATTTCATCTGATCCCACTGCCATTCTTAGAGGATTACCAGAACCTTGGAAGCATATGGCTGCACACTGATGCAAGATGGTAAAGGGGTGCCATGGCAACCAAGGCTTATCTTTGGCTTAGCATCTGGACTGGGGTACAAGTCTCCCTCCACTGTGCCTGTGTTGAAGGATGGGCTCTCTCTCCTATATGTGTAGTTGTCTGTCTCATTTCTGTGGCAAAATATCCTGGCGGAAGCAACTTCGGAAATGGTTTATGGTTCACCGTTTGAAGGTATGGCCCACGGTGTCAGGGAAGGCATGGCAGTGGGAGACCAAGGCAGCGGTCATATGACGTCCACAGTCAGGAAGCAGAGAGGTGAATGCTGTGCTCGGCCCAGGACGCCACCCCATGGGATGGTGCTCCCCATGTTTGGGATGGGTCTTCCTGCCTCAGTTAACCTAACCTAGATAGCCCCTTGAAGACACACCTGGAGCCTTGTCTGTTCAGTCATTCTAAATCCTGCCAAGCTGACATTAACCGTTCTACCATGCCTCCCTTTGTTCTGACCTTCAGGTTCTCCAGCCATTTTTGTGGCTTCATGGGCTATCACCAGACTCTTTCTTGAAGACACTGGGTAAGCTGGTAGGAGGAGGAGTAACACGAACACAGCACAACATGCTAAACATGCTATTGTCAGCCTCTGTAGCTGCTAGCTCTGCAGCTGGGAATTCAAGCAACTGTAAATTCCTGGCTCAAGAGGGAGAATGCTCACCTAGCATGCATGAAACTCAGAGTTTGATTCCAGTACTGCATTAACTGAATATAGCAGAAGAGGATAGACGTATTTTTAAGATTTTTTTTTAAATGTACGTGTATATGTGTAAGTATGTACAGGTGAGTGCAGCTGCCCATGGAAGCCAAAGAGGACATTGGATCCCCTGGATCTGGAGTTACAGGTGGTTGTGACCTGTCCTACATGGGTGCTGGGAACTGAACTCAGGTCCTCGGCAAGAACAGTATGTGTTCTTAACGTCTGAGCCATCTGTCCAGCCCCAAGGGGAACAGATCTTGGCAGTGGTGGGCACACTGAGGTGATGACTAAGGGCACAAGCACAGTCTTCCTGCCAAGGGCTGCACTAGAGACCTGCCAGTCAGCCTAGTTCCTGCTCCTAATGATGCCTAACACTGTCTTCCACAGATGCTGGGACATCAACGCCAACACTTCCATCTGGTGGGTCATTCGAGGGCCTGTGATTGTGTCCATCCTGGTGAGTGGCCGTCCTCTCCTGAGCTGGGGACAAGCTGGGGAACACTGAACCAGTGAGTAGCTCTGAGGGTTGGAGAGCCCAGGGCTTGAGTTCCCAGCAGGCACCAGGAGGGTAGACACTGCAGAGCTTGGCAGGTTGACAGAGGTTGTTCCTTAAGGAGTGGCAGGAGGGTAAAGCTTGCCAGGAGTCATTCACCTTATTTTTTGGGCCAGGGTCTCCTACTGGAACCTAGATCATAGATTTGGATAAACAAACAAACACCTCCAATGAGATTGCTTCCCCCTCAACCCCAAACCCACCACCAGCAACAACAAAGCAAACAAAAAGCAAAGTGCTCCCAAGCATGATGAGGTATTTTGTCAGTTGGGAGACTGAGGCAGGAGAATTTAGAGCCTGAGGTTTGTCTGAGCTCCGTCGTGGTATGCTGTATCAGAAAGGAAAGCGTGGGCTGGCAAATGGCTCTGTAAGAAAAAGCGCTTGCAATGCAAACCTGAGGTCCATTGCCAGAACCCACAGTGGAAGGGGGAAGTAACTAATAAAAGTTAGATTTTGACCTCCACAGGTGTGTGTGTGTGTGTGTGTGTGTGTGTGTGTGTGTGTATGCCTGTACTCATGAGCACAAACACAAATATAATAATAAAATAACGAAATTTTTAAAAAGTGGACTCCACGGTGCAGGCAAACCTGCATGCATCAAGACTCACAGTGACCAAGAGTGAATGATCTGGCTGGCAACTATTACCCATGAGCCACAGAGCCTGGACAGCAGTGTGTACTGCTTTCAGCCATGGCCTCTGGATTTATTTGTGTCCCTGGGACTCGGAGTATATGGATGAACAGCTATGATTTGCCATCCTGGTTGTCATGTCTTTCCTGCCCCCAGCTCTAGGGATCAGGGCCAGGACAGAGGACTCAGGAGACAGGACACCTTAAGCCTGACCTCTGTGTTGTCTTGCAGATCAATTTCATCTTTTTTATAAACATTCTAAGAATCCTGATGAGAAAACTTAGAACCCAAGAAACAAGAGGAAATGAAACAAACAATTATAAGTAAGTGCAAGGCAGACCTTGGCATGCTTGGGCAGTCAGCAAGCATCTACTGAGTGCCTGCTGTTTACTCCACAGAGTCAGGCCGAGACTACCTATGGGATAACTAGGGTGGGTGGGTGGAAATATGCCTCAGTATGAAACCGCAGACATGGAAATTATGTGGGGAGAGAAAACTAGGAAACCAGACAGGAAACCTACAACAGAGAGATCGGAACATTGCAAGGCTGGGAGGGGGAGGAAGTGGGAGGAGGTGTTGAGATGGAGTGGACAAGAAAGGGTATGACATTGTTTGCTAAGCAGCAGCCATAGCCCAGGTATCAGTTTTATATGCTGCTACAGCTTTACTTACGTCACCGATAGGGGTGGGTGGCCGGAAGCACTGAGGCTTGGCGTGAATCTGGTGAGTGTTGTTGTCCTTACCAAGTGCCGAGCACGTGGGACTTCGGAGACTTCAGAATAAATAAAAACATGGTAAAGAGGTTGCTCTATTATACTTTCCTAGCGTGAGTGGGGGCCAGGGCTCTGCACCTCACACTGCAAAATATCATAGATCATAGATAAGTGGGTAGCCGGGTAGATGATACATAAAGTAATTGTATGGATAGATAATAGATACAGATACAAACATTCAAAGATGACAGACAGGTGATAGATAAATGATTGATAGATGATAGATAAATAGGTACAAAGATGATTGATAAATGATAGCTAAATAGCTGATAGGTACACAAAGAGACGACAGATATGGATAGACAGATAGATGATAGATTGATCCAGAAAAACAAGCCAAACTCCCCAAATTGAAAAAAAAAATACCTAAAGACATTGCAGCCAGACTCAAAGTGGTCAGGCCCTAAGTGAGTTGAGGAGACTGTGAGGGGGCGCTGAGGTCAATCCCGAGTGGCAGCGTGTCCCTGTGTCCCCAGGCGCCTGGCCAAGTCCACCCTCCTGCTGATCCCCCTGTTCGGCATTCACTACATCGTCTTTGCCTTCTCCCCCGAGGACGCCATGGAGGTCCAGCTGTTCTTTGAACTGGCCCTGGGCTCCTTCCAGGTAAGTTCTGGGGCCTGGGATTTAAAGAGGACTCGCCAGGACTAGAGCAGTGGCCCAGTCAGTAAATTACTGGCATTGTGAGCATGGGAACCTGAGTCCGACCCCCAGACCCCACAGAAAGCTTGCCCATGGTGATGCATGCCTCCAATCCCAGTGAAGATGAGATGGGGGCACACACAAGGAGAACGCTGGAGCTCACGAGTGAGCTAGCCTGCCCTTTGTGGAGAGGTTCCAGGCCAGTGAGAGACCCTGTGTCAAACCAAGTGTCAAAAGACACCTGAGCCCTCCACATCAACGTACATGCATTCACCGGACACATGTACAGACATGCACACACAACACACACACACACACACGCACACAGCTTTCAATTTTCCTAGAGAGAAATCAGGCTGCAGAGACAACAAACCTGAAAGTCAGTCTCATGCAGTGGCCATGTGGTGCCAAATGATGTTGAGTCTCCAGCAGAAAAACCATATTGCAAGTGGGGTGGGAGTGCTGACTCCTGAGAGAGAAAAGGCAACATCACCTTCCCCCACTTGACGTGCAAAATGTTACACAACCATAGCAGGTAGCACATTCTCAACCACAACGAGGCACACACTGCCTAAAGCCACGGGCAGCAGATAAACCCTGCTTTTCTTGCTGGGTTGTCCAGAGAAAATGCCTACAGCTGAGAAACTGGAAGCTCGCAGCCTCAGCACGTTATCTAAAATCAGTTAAGAGAGGTCAGGCTGGACTCTGCTTACCCCTAAGGAGCAGGAAACGGGAGTGGGTGGCAAGAAGATACTAGATTGTGTGTGTGTATGCATGCAAATAAGTGTGCCAGGGGAACGGCATCCTTAGGAACAAGCCACCTTGTTTTTTTGTTTGTTTGTTTGTTTTGTTTTTTACACAGAAATTCTCTGTAGCCTGAAACTTAGCAAGTAGGCTACACAAATAGACCATGCTAGACCCATGCTAGCTGGCCAGCCAGTCCCAGGGACATGCCAATCTCTGTCTTTCAGGGTGCTGCTACATCCTGAATCATTTAGATAGGTTCTGGGATGGAACTCAGGGCTTGCGAAGCAAACACTTTACCTGCTGAACCATCTTCTCAGTCCCTGACTATTGGGGGTTTTAAAAGAATCATTTGACGGGAGGTGCAGGGAGAGGTCGCCTATCTCTAACTCATCAAAATGCTATGAGGTTAGAGCAACAACAATGAGATGCGTAAGAAGGAGCCTTAACTGGAGTCTCAAGCCTCACGCTCTGACTTTATTTATTTGCTTGTAGCCATTTTCTTCCAAAAATAACATGCAGCCACTTTCAGAAACAACAGATGGAGAAAAAAATATGTAGATGACTTATCAGTGGGGAAAAAAATTGGTGTAGTGGTGCATTCTGTAATCCAAGCGATGGGGTGGGGGAGGTGGGAGTCAAGGTCATCCTTCACTACATAGTAATGTTGAGGTCAGCCTGAGTTTGGAGCTTTCCAGAGGCCAAAGTAAGAACAGCTTGTTTCAAGACTCACAGTATCCATTAGAGGAGAGCCAATAGGTTTGGCATGCAGCTGACTGGTAGAGCATTTGCCCTGCATGCTGGAGACCCTGGGTTCCAGCCCAGTATGACCCATGCATGCATGTGTTCCTACCCATACATAGACACAGACACAGACACACACACACACACACACACCAGTGAGCAAGCTCATGCTCAAAGAAGCATTGTGATTGTGCTAGAGGCTTGAGGACAAAGACTCCAGCAGAGCCCTCCCAATGGGGAGGCCTTAGCCTCAGAGTGGGGTCTCCACTCTCCCTTCATCCCTTGGATTCTGCTCTGGGTAGACTGAGCTGGACTACTGCCACTGCTCTGGGTTCCAGGCAAGATGCCTCAGTGGGGACACAGTGAGTCAGACCTCTCTCCTATTTGAAACCCAACCCCAGGCTGCGCCCTATACCCTCCTCCGAGACGCTTCCCTGACTAGAGCCTCTGCCAGCACCTGGTCCTGGTGCATATGTAACAATGGGTTCACTATGGCCCGTCCAGTGACTGTGGGGTTTGAGATCCGGTCCAGGTCGTTGGAAGGACTTGGCCTAACCACCAAAGTGGGTAGTGAGCGTTCAGAAAGCTTGGGGGTCCTGGAGCTGCCTCTCCATTGGATAGGGAGTTCCTGTCCCCAGACCTGGGAAGACAAAATTGAAGAAACAAAACAAAAACACTTTCCTAATGTCCCATGGACTTGTGTATGAATGAAAAGATCATTAAAAACATGTAAATAGCTGGACTTGGTGGTCCACAGGTGGAATTCTCAGCCCTTGGGCAGTAAAGTCGGGAAGATAGCTTCATGCTCTAGGCTAGTCTGGGCTACACTGCAAGTTCCAAGCCAGCCAGTGGCTTTCAAGATGCTTAAGGAGATCTTGTCCCCCGAAAGTGTTCTAATGTACATAAATACATAAATAAAATATGTATATGTGCCCATATACATGTATGTATATTCACACATAAACCTATCAAAGTTTCTTCCACATACCAAAGTGAGGAAAACAGCAGAATGAATCTGCATCTATCAACCATCCTAGACAATGTAGCAAGATCCTGTCTCAAAAAAAAAATGTGGAGAAATGGCCTAGTGGTTAAGAGTTCCTGCTGTTCTTACAGAGGACCTGAGTTTGCTTCCCAGGACCTCTATCAGGTGACTCACAATTGCCTGTTACAGTTCCAGGGAATCCGATGTTCTCTTCTGGCCTCCACAGGCATCTGAACACTTGGCGCATACACATTTACGCACACATATACATATAACTGCACATAAATAAATCTTTAAGAAAAAAAACATAGATACCTATAACAACAGCCAGCAACAACAACAAAGCCCCCCCAGTTTTGTTCCGGCTTTGTGTCTCAACGGCAGAACATGTGATTCGCATGTCTGAGGCCATGGATTCCAGTCCTACCCCTTCAAAACAGCCTGAGGGCGTTGCTCAATGAGTAAATTGCTCAGTGTGAGGACCTGAGCCTGAATCCCTGGCAACCATTCAAACAGCTGGTGTGGCAAAGGCAGGTGGATCCCTGAGTTCATTAGCCAGCCTATCTAGCCTGTTCAGAGAGCCCTAGGTTCAATGAGAAATCCTGTCTCACAACTGAAAAACCCAAGTGAGGATAATGACTGGTGTGGACTGGTTGGCTCTAGGCCTCATCAAACAGCACACACATTTATATACATGTAACACACGCACTCTCGAGCACACACACACACACACACACACACACACACACACACACACACAGTCAATATTCCTGAGCACTGGTACATATTAAGCTCACTACAGAAGGGCAGGTTCATTGTCCTTTGGGATCCTTCAATGCAGTAAGTAGCTAAAGGCAGAACCTGGTGGGACTAGGGAAGAGGGGCTGGGCCAGCCAAAGTTTTAAGCTGTAGATGAAAGCCTCTGGGGGAGGAAGATTATCAGGATGGAGGTCAGGCCTGCGGGGAAGGCGGGATGTGAGGTGGGCTCTTAGGGAGGAAGGGAGCAGGTGCTCCTGGGGTCAGTAATTTCACTGTTACTTTGATAAAACACCCTGACAAGAGCAATGCAAGGGAAGAAGGGGTTACTTCGCCTCAGAGTTCTAGGGTGCAGTTCATGATGGTGGAGAAATCTTGGCAGCATTAATCTGTACCTCTGTCGGTGTGTAGAGAGAGATGAATGCTGCTTGTCAGTTCACATTCTCTACACTGGATGCCTCCCACAGTCTTCCTCCTTTGACTAACCTCATCTAGAAAATCCCTCACAGGTATGCTCAGAGATTTCCTCCTTGGTGATTCTGGCCTCTGACAAGTTAACAGTAACAACCATCACACATCATTCACAGCTCTGCAGCATTATAGACAGACAACCGCAGGCTTCCCAGCGACATCCTAGGGCCCTCGCAATGCCATCCGAAAACAGGAACTCTGAGGCAAGGTCCAGGTAGACTGGACCTCCAAGACAGGAGGCAGGAGGCCTGGACCACAGAGCTGCACCCGATGGCTAACAGGCCTGTGTTTGCACATGCTTTGCTCTTACCACACATCTGTTCTTCAGTAGGAATTGGTCATCTTTCCTGTGAGCCCAGCATCTCCTACAGTGTGACTGTGTCCCTCACAGTCGGATGCAGGGGAGACATACTTTAGGCCCTCCTGTCTGTGCTATCCTAGATGACCCTCTTTACCATTCACAGGATCTGATGACCCTGCAGTCAGGGTCCAAGTCAGAAGCTCTTCCCTTACTGTCACTAACACAAGTGTTTCCTATGCCAGGCCTTGGGATTAATAGGTGAAAAGGATTTCTGGCTTGTGTTCAACAAGGTAGGCACATCAGGGTACTGTGAGCCCCAAAGTAGGGAATTCCCCAGGCTGAAATGTATGTGTGTGTGTGTGTGTGTGTGTGTGTGTGTTGAGCACACTCAGGCAGAGAAGGTGGGAGGGATGATCTGTGTTCAGCAACACAGCACAAGAACTAACACAGTTCCTTTGGCAGGGACTGGTGGTAGCCATCCTTTACTGCTTCCTCAATGGTGAGGTGAGTGTCTTGGGGGACTGTGGGATTCCAGTGCTGAGCCCCCTGTGGATGGAAGGGGGATGGGAAGGGTGCCTGGGCACCTCTGCTTGCTTGGCAGTGTCCCCTGGAGGGACATGTTAAATCGCATCCTAGGCAGTGGATCCACGATAGAGCCATCAGCTCCCGTGGGTCTGAGGTGGGGCCGACCAAGCATTCCTTTGCAAGTTCTCCGGGGGCTTCTCACCCGTGTGCAAGTTCAGCAAACCCAGCATCCGGTGCCCTCCCACCTCAGAACCAGGCGCCTGGCGGCTCTGCTGCTTGCTCTATGCGTGACCTGGGTCACTTCCCACCTGGAGCTCAGCTTCCCGTGGCCTCGCACAGAGACTTGGGTTTCAGGATATGAAGCTCCAGACGTTGGCTCTGGCGACGTTACTACACACAAGCCAAGTGTCTTTGTGGCTGCTGGCCAATCCTGTCTGGTACACACGTTTGAATGGGAATGACCTCTGATGTTTCCCAAAAATCAAATATCAAACCTGAATGCCAAGGTTGGTTTGAGTGCCCCTACTGGGGACCATAAAGGAGTGTCTGCAGAGAAAATCCTCAGATCCCGAGATCTTCTGAGCGAGGTGGGGGCTTACAGGAGAGTGAGCCTGCAGGTCTGGATATTGATTCTGCAGTTTGTGGAGCACAGCTCACACCTTTTCCGGGGGGGTGTGTGTGTTAAAAGTTGAGTTAAAAGATGGCAGGTACAGGTCAGGCAGGGTGACTCAGCAGGTGAACATGTTGACCCTGAGGTCTGACAAGTCTGTTCTCAATCCCTAGAGCTGAGGTGGTGGAAGGAGAGCTTCCTCTGACCTTCACAAGAATGCCCTGGCATGCGTGTATTGTCTCTCTCTCTCTCTCTCCTCTCTCTAATAACTTTAAAAAATTAAAGATGGCAGGTGCAAGTGCTCAGGGTAGAGGGGACCTTCAGTACCTTCTATACAGGAGGCAGGAAATGCTCACTCACAGGCTTTTAGGCAAGGGGACGCAGGAGGACAGGAGCAGCCAGCTGGACCCACCAGTGAGTCAGGTTACAGGCACAGGCCTGGCCTTCTCTCCCAAGCGATTGCTGCAGCTGATGGCCGGCCTTGGGCAGGTGCAGCTCGAAGTTCAGAAAAAATGGCGCCAGTGGCACCTCCAAGAGTTCCCGTTGCGCCCTGTGGCCCTCAACAACTCCTTCAGCAATGCCACCAGTGGCCCTACCCACAGCACGAAGGCCAGCACCTCAGAGCCGAGCCGGAGCACCGCCAGGGCCAGCATCATCTGAGGATGCAAGACCTTCAGTGGACAAAGAGATGGACGTTTGGTAGGATGGTCGCCTGCCCAGCAGCCATATTGTGCTGAGTGGCTGAACAGGCTTGCCCTCCAGGTCTGTGCTTCCTCAGACCTAAGCAAGGGGACATTGGGTCATCATGGAGCAAGAAACAGGCAGGTCATCTGAGCTTTCTTACTCTTCAGAGAAGAGCAATTCAGCAGCTACAGAAGGGGCAGGGGAATAAAATGACATCCAGAAAATCTTTGTCTGTCAATCCTTGCCACCTAGGGAGGAAGGTATCACTTCCCAACTCCTCCCTGAAGGAAGAGGGAGCTCCCCTGGCTTCCAAATCCCAGCTCTCTCTTATGGACAGGTTCAGACACTCAGAAAACATGAGAAACCAAGACCCTTGGCCTTGCCGATCTGGTCTGCCCCCCCACCCCACCCCACGTTTCAGCTCAGCTGTCCTAAAGCTGTCACCAAGACTTCAGGACAACAGCTAATTGAGCTGAAGTCACAGGGCATCTGACCCCCTTTCGTTATCCCTAATGTGGTAACAGGGCTCTGTGGAGAGTAAGTAAGCTGTACTCTGTATGGGTGGGAGACAGTTCCTCAAAGGCCCAAGGATTGGCCAAGCTACAACAGTGTCTCCTGTAGTCTGCAGTTTTCTAGGTAGCTGAAGATGGCCTCGAACTTACATGATCCTCTTGCCTTCGCTTTCCAAGTGCTACAAGTACAGGTGTGCACCGCCACACCTGGGAATCAGACTCACGGCTTCATGCACAAAGGGCAAGATGCTACCAGAGTGGCATCTCCGTGGAACCCTAGCCCACAGTCTTTAAACACCTGGGCTTCAAGGCAAGGGGTGACTTCCCCGCCCTCAAACAGGAAAGGACAAGGGCCTGTCTCCCGGCACTTTTAGCCTCCATAACTCCGGCTTTGTATTTGCACTCCTTGACTCCATAAGGGAATAAAGGAGGTTGAAATGGTTGAATCTTCTTCCAAAATGAAACCTAACAGGGAAAACCAAACAGAAATGGAGCCGTGGCCATCCATTTGCATCTTGCAGGCCACTGCAGGGCCCCTTTCTAGGCTGAGAGCCAGACTGAATGGTTGAGGAACTCTGATTTTGGTAACACCTGACAGCCCAGCCAAACTCCTCAGGTGGCGGCGGCCATATGGCTCAGTCGCTGAGCGCCTGCCCAGGTTCACCAGGCCTTCACCAGGATGTGAGTGATCCTCAGCACTACACAAAACAAAATAAAACAAGAGGTTTCGAGGACCTCCAGGGTCTGTGTGGGGTGGTGGTCCAGCTTCAGCATGGTCTCATGACTCCCACCTGGAATAACGGTACCTCAAAGGTGGGACTAGTGAGGTGGCTCAGCCAGGACAAACGCTCTCTGAGCAAGCAGGATGCTCCTTTGAAGCTGTGTAAAGGTGGAAAGAATGAACCATCACCACACTTGTTCTCCAACCCCCACACGTGCACATGACGCGTGCACACACACACACACACACACACACACACACACACACACACACAATAAGTAAAGTAAAATAGGAATATTTAAAATCACCGTGGAAGAGGCTAGAGGGATGGCTCAGCGGGTAAAGTGGATGAGGACCTGGGTTCAGTCTCTGGAAGCCGTGTAAAAGCCTGGCACTACTGTGCAGGCCTACAGTCCCAGCACTGGGGAGACAGAGGCAGGGGATCCTTGGGGCTCGCTTGTTATCTAGGAGAGCATACTTGATGAGTTCTAGGCCAATGAGGGTCACTAGCCCAAAAACAAGGTACACAGTCTCCTGGAGAATGACGCCTAAGGTCGAGCTCTGAGCTCCAGTGCACGCGGACTCTCACACACACATGAATATGTGTATATACAGAATCACAATAGAAGCTACGAGGGGAGGCTGAGCCTACAAATTAGACACCAGCCTGGAGTCTAATTTTCTCTCAAAATAAAATGGGGCCTCAGTGGTCAAGTGTGTGATTAGCATGTATAAAGCCCTGGGGTGCTCTCCAGCACCAGAAAAAAAAATTACCACAGGTAGATACACCTAGCCCAGGAAGAGACCCTTAGGACAAGATCAGGACAAAGCCTAAAAACCCATTCAGTGGCTGGGGGAGAAAAGGATCTTCTAGAATATGAATATAACAGAAAACATTTCACCTGCCTTTGGGTAGTTAAAGAAAAAATGAAGATGAGGCAACAGAATGTGCAAAACTTGAGATCTGGGGCCTGGAATGAGCTCAGCTGGTTGAGCAGTCGCTTGCAAGCACAGGACCTGAGTCTCACCTGAAGAACCAATGTTAAAAAAAAAAAAAGCTGGACATGGTGGCATGTGCTTGTAATCCCAGCTCTGATAAAAATGGAGACCTGGAGGTCTCTGGAGTTCATGGCCCAGCCAGCCCAGACTACTTGGCAAATTCTAGACCAGAGAGAGACCATCTCAAAAACCAAAATACAATTCAGTGGGCAAAAGTACTTGCTACACAAACCTGACCCTGAGCTGGGATTCCCAGCACCACATAAAGCTGGATGCAGTAGTAATCACTGCCACAATCCCAATGGCTCAGAGGTGAAAACAAGGGACAGGAAATCCTTGGAAGCTCACAGGCTGGCAGGCCTGTGCAGCTGAGAACCACGAGGAGACCCTGTCTCGAACAAGATGGAAGGGGAAGCCCGTAGAGAATACTGACTCTCAGTGCCACCTGCGTGCCGTGCTGTGTGCACGCCCACATCTGCACAGAAAGATTAAAGAAAGGGGGGTGGTGGTGGAAAGTACTGGTGCACACACACACACCTGCAGATACATGCACCTACACACACACATCCACACACACGCACCTGCACACACATGTGCCTGCATACACATGCACACGTGTGCACACAAACACACACTTCCACCCCCTACATACACACAGAGAACGAGAGAGAGACAGGCAGAGAGAGAACGGCTCCTCCGGTGAGCATGGAAATCTCCACTGGTTCCTGACCCCTTTCACCTCCACCTATCCCCTGCAGGCTGTTAATTATTACTCAGCATCGGTTTGTCCCCTCACCCACCGTGGAGTTCAGCAGTACAAGCATGTGCTCTTTGAAATGTGTTCCAGGATCAGAAGTGGACCCTGAGGCCACATGACCCTTACAACTGACAGTCTCACAAACAGCCCTGAGTCCAAACTGGCCTTGGGGAAGACTATGGTAGAGATCACCTAAGCGTCCCAGTGGGCCAGTTGCTCAAGGAAGGCTTCAGTTAGCCTCTAGAAACGGGTGTTCCAGAGCTTGTGGGCCCACACAAAGGGATTTTAAGGCAATAGACTGAAAAGCTACTATTCACAAGGCTTTCTTGAAGAACTCTGCTAAAGTCAGGGAAATGTGTACAAAAATCCCCGGGAGCTGATGGGAGAAGGTCCTACACAGTGATGGGCCCCCAGGTGGACGACTGAACTGTTGGCAGAAACCTCAAGAGGTCCAGGGGCGGGGCTGGGAGATGGCTCAGCGGTTAAAGTGCTTGCCATGCAAACAGAAAGACCAGGGTTTGGAGCCCTAGAACCCACATGAATGTTGGCTAGGTGTGGTGACTCACCTGTGATCCCAACCCTGGGAGGCAGAGACAGAGTAGCTCCAGAGCAAGGGAGTTCATGAGACTAGCCTTACAGGTGAGCTCTGGGTTTGATTGAGCGACCCTGCCTCAATGAATGAGGTAGAAAAGCAATTGAGGATGAGTCCAGACACCAACCTCAGGCCTCCATATGTACACACTTGCACGTGTGTCCATGCATACATGAACCCATACACATTGAAGACACACACACACACACACACACACACACACACACACACACACACACAAATAATTTAAAGAAATCTCCCTGGACCCCTGCAGCCTGCACTCCAGTGCAATCAATGAAATGGGTGCGAACCCCATAGCTGGTCAGCCAGCCTGGAACTGCTTGATGGTTTCTTTCAAACTCTACTCCAGTCCAGGGAAGAAAACACCCAAGAAAGGCATTTTAGGATATTCTTCTTATTTTAGAATTGACATCATAATAGCTTGGCTAACCTATCCAACTTGCTGTGCTGTGGTGCTGTGCCACTCCTCCTGGAGGCCAGCTGAAGAGATTCCCCAGGGCCATGTCTAGAGCTAAATGCAGAAGTGGCAGCTTCAAGGTCGTTGTTTGTCTCATGCAATCCCAGCCAGAGGTCGTATGTTAGAGAGTCCCGTCATGATCGTGCATTCTTAAAGAAGCCAGCGTCTCCCCTGTAGGGTCCCAGGGCTGAGTGAGGCTGTTAACGTGAAGGCCGCTGGTGGCGTTGAGGAAGAAGAGGAAGGAGGCCGTGAACTCACACCAAAACATTAGGGTGAAGCCCAGGAGGGTGAGCTGGCTCTTGAGGAGGATCATAAAGGTGAGGAGACCCCCAGAGGAGAGGATGAAGGCGACCAGAAGGAGGTAGGAGCCGATGGCCCACTTGCGTCGTGAGTGGACATCCTCACACACCTGGGACACCATGAGCAGCTCCAAGCCAAAGATGGCAGCCACCACGGCCATGGCAGCCACACTGCGTGCCAGGCCCATGCCCACAGCCAGCCCGGGCACGTGGGTCTGGCTCAAGTCTCTCATACACTGTGGTCCGCTGTGGTTGCCGGTGGTACAGAAGGACCACAGCCCAAAGAGACGATCCTCCGATAGGAGCCAGTGGCCATCGCAGATGGAGACTGAAGAGAGGACCACAGCCAAGGCAGTGCACACGATGATGAGTGTCCGGATGAAGGACTCAAAGAAAGACCAATGGGGCCTCTTAGGGCCCAACAGCTTCTGGGCCTGGAAGATACCACAGGAAGCAGTGAATTGGCAAGGGCCTCTGACACCAGGGTAAACTCCCAGCATGCATTCCTACTTCCTCCAGTCCTGTTTTCTGCTCTGGTATCAAGGAAAACATTGACCCTCCCCAGTTTCCCACCCTTAATAGGGGCCCTTCCTTTTCCTACCTGTCCTCCCTCCTCTACTGGCCTTGTGTCTGCCAATTGCTAACTAATCTTTTACTGTTCCTCTCGGGATCTTTACCCAGAGTGAAAGGCCCAAAGTGGAGCTGGGAGATGGCCTTGTTGGGAAAGTGCTTGCTTTACAAGTGTGAGGGCCACAGCTTGACCCCAAGAACCCACATTTTAAAAAGGCAGGCATGGTGGGGAGTGCATGCAATCTCAGTGCTGGGGAGAGAGAGAGAGAGAGAGAGAGAGAGAGAGAGAGAGAGAGCCTAAATAACAAGTTAAAGTTAGCCTCTGGTTTCCATATGCATGTGT